GTGGGACGCTTCCTCTTCATGGGTGAGGTTGGAGGCTCATCATCAGGGTCATCGGAATCAATCTCAAGTGTGACTTGCGGGACTATCCGTGTTGCTTGTCGACGTCTAGTAGAAGATGGAAGTATGTCATCCTCGGAATCCTCATCGGCTTCCTCACTAGATTCATCGCTACTCTCTATCGGTGCGGCTAGTTTCTGACTAAATAAGCCTGGGCGTTGTGAAGGTCTAGGGTTTGATGCGAATACGTCATCATCACTTGTATCTGACAATGTTACCGATCTTTTCTTTGGCGTAGTCTTCAAGGGGGTTGGAGGCTTGGGGCTATGAGCTAGGGCTTTTGGTGCTCTGCCTCGATTTCCAGAAGAAGGTAAAGGGGCGTTATATGTACTTCCACCTTGTATAAAGCCTCGACCTGTGAGCGAACGTCTCCTCGATGAACCAGCTCCAGAAGATTTTGTAGCAGAACCTGTAATCTCAATATCCGAGTCGTCGCCTGCAGCCTCTGTGGCAGCAGGTCCCTTCTTCGATGGAGTCGTTACTTCAACTTCAATTGTAGACTCATCTGCCGAACCAATGACGTTCTCAACAATTGGCTTCTTCGTTTTTGAACCTCGTGTACTTCGACGTGATCCGCTGGTTATCTCTGTAGCTGCAGTAATAATTTCCTCTTTCTGTGAGCCTTTCGCGGGTGTTGGTAATGATCCAAAGCTGATTTTTCCATCTCTCGCATTCTTTCCCTTGCCCCCAGATTTTTCTTTAATACCAGTACTTGCTTTCAAAGGTGATCCTGAAGACATTCCACTGCGTGTAATTCTTCCTCCACTTGCTGCAGATGTACCGCCATTCGTTCTCTCATATCTAACCTTCGCGGGCGAAGGTCCTTGACTTTTGGCAGGTGAATCCAAAGGTACTTCGGTGGAAATTGGATCGAATGTCAAACGTGTTTGTTTTTTTCGCCGCTCCTTTCGAGCTATGTTTGAAGAGCCCATTGTCGCAATTTCGCAGGCTGCGGGGTTATTTTGCAAGTTGTATCTGATAGTTTGATCGCAAAGTTGGAAGATTGAACAAAATCGCAAAAGGTGAATCGAGCTTTGAGAGAGGATGTATTTATATTCGCGAACAGCAACTACTAATGGTTTTCAGGTAGTTTGTAAAAGAATGCGACGGCGAATGTATTATTATAGATCGTGAGATGGTTATGAAAACAAAAGCAAAGAAATCGTAAATGAACCACAGAGGCAAAAGTGACGCGGGGAATCGCGCCAAAATTACGAAAGCACGTGCCCTTGTTGTAGGTAATTTTTGATATCTTTCAGTGTGGGGAAATGAGCCGCTTTGCTTGACGACGAGGATCTCCTCTGCAAACATGCGAATTTCAATCCTCTCTCAAGACGGGATTTCGCATGAATAAGTACACTGAATGATATCCACACACTCCATGAAAAGGGGTGTGATCCTACTCCGACTCTGAGGATTGTGCTACTGTATCCCGTAGATTTTCCTCTCAAGAGAACCACAGTACCCCTATCACTATTGACAATTCTCCACAAAACTTTGAGAAAATCTGAAGGTAGATGAAGCATTGGCATATATACAACATCATAGGGATAGTCTTGTTCCTTTAAATGTTTGTTTGGTGAGGGAAACTGAATGAACAAGCTTGTATCAGCTACAGTTTTTGGAACTTGGTACGGATGTTCAGTCAAATTAATGAGTGCAAAGACCTCAACTCAAGGTTAATTCTGAGCACACAAGTGTGACTTGGAACTTTCTGGTGTTAATATTAAAGCAATTCTTGAATCGCTTTTTCTGTTTTACTTGAAGTATCATGTCCAGGTAAGTCGCTTGCCAATGAAACATGTCTCTTTACTCTCCCTACATGTATAAGTGCCCCTTCCGACAATGAATTTTGTCATCCAGCATTCTGTCTGTCTACACTCAGGGAAGGAACTCACTGGTCTAGGATTGGAAGCCACCTATTCGGTTGTATTTTCGCTTATCACCTTGGTTTCTTTCAAATTGTAAGTCTCTAGATTTTGCATTCATTTGAATTTGGACATTAGAATATCAATGTCAGGACGGCACAGGAACAATATTTTAGAATAAGCTACTGTGTAGTTTACATACATCAGAGCTTTTCTTTCCAGGGCATTGAAAGTTTGTGTCTTCCATTTGAGCCATCTACTTACTGAGGTATGCATTCATGGATTTATGAGGTTGCTCCACATAATACCCGCATCGTCTCATAGCTCTTTCCTCCCCGACACCTCTCACATTTATCTTTACCTCTTTCTTCCCTCCCAGCACCTTAATTCAAGGCTCTGACTTGGCTTTATAATTCCATATATGCACGAAATAATCAAAACAAATGACATAGTGTAGTGGTCAAGCTCCTCGCTTTTCACTCTACAACTTCGATGAATTTCGCTAACATGGAATACTAGCAATTGGTCTCGTTGTTTTATTCCTTGAATAACACTTCTTCTCGTAGTTTAGTTCCGTTTATGTTCGCAGTGTTCAGATACCCCAGCACTTACTATGAGTTCTTGATAGTCTGAATTCCGCCACTTTCAAGAGATTTGGGCCTCATGGTTAGTGAGCAAATTGAGACGTGGTACGTATATAACTTTCTTATCAACCATTTCCGGAGCTTGACCACACACTTCCTTTTTGTTATTGAGAAGAGCACACACTTAAAATAAAACTCTTAGGGGAAGGTACATCTCAAACAGGATTTGTGGTCGAACTTTTACCAGTTTGCAAGTGTGAAGTATTTAAAGATTACGTACGGGATTGGAGCCCTTTACCTCAAGCGAGCCTTGAGGTCAAGGTGAATGACCGGTACAATCAAAAGCTTAAGAACTGTGAGGACTCGTGTGGGTCCTTTGCGAGATGGAGCTCCGTATTCAACAGCCATGAAAACCCATCTGTTACTAAGGTGATTTCTATCAACCTATTCAGAGCTCAGCTCTAGTTGGGAAACGTATAATCATACAACCACGATGTCCAGTAATCTGAGGTACCTTGTTCAATCATTGATAGATGGCTATTTGATTATTCATAACGCGAATTTACAGCACTCAAAGTTCAACCCGATTTAATTGATGCGGTGGCAGATGGCAGAGAAGTCCTACAATAAGTCCAACAGGCCCAATATCCAACCTGATCCTCAATTCATTAGATCGTTCGCCGATATCTATCTCTGTGATCGCCAATACGACGTCCGCTCAAGACTGGCTACTATGTGGCGATCTTGTATGATGAAAAGGGTGTCTGTTCTCCGCATCTTCAGGAATAATGGAGGCTTGCTGAATATCAGTATGAGGAGACTGTTCGCTCATTGCATGGAGATCATCAAAAGGAAATAAGTTTAAGGAACGATGCAATAGTTGTTCTCACGGGTACTGCAAAGGTTGTAATATGTCCATATCGTGGCAGCTCTGGCAGAAATTGGAAGTAATATCCAAACAGACCTCATAAAGGTTGTGATCGATGCTGAGCTTCTGGAACTCATAAACTCCTCGTTCCCAACAATGAGTAATCACACCATCGTCTGGTATTATTTTTCAACGCTCGAAACTTCCTTCCAAACAGTAGATGAATAGTCAATGTTGAAATCTGACTTGACAGAAAACTGGAACTCCCTGGACCCAAGTGAATGTGTCGATTGAAGCTCAGTGAGACTTTTATATTCTTACATATTCAGACTAAGTGAAAAGTCTCTAGATGAATATGGTCTGCGTGTATAGAATTAGGGTCTGATCCATGGGAATCACTTTCAATGAGTGAGTGCATTGGCATATGTGATACAAAAGTCAAATTGTCGGTCGACTTGTCATTGTACCATATCTGACTGTTCAATGACGAAGAGACCCTTCGATTAACCAAACACCAAGTATACTGATATATTCATATAGAGATACGCCATATGAATAATTGCAGCACACTGCTTCTATATGCTTGAGAGCTTCGACAATCTCCTTCTCAGAGTTGTTCTTCAAAGTTCTTCTACATCTTTACCTCATACCGTGGAAAAGTTTCAAGCAACCAATACTTACAACATTATTGTGTAAGATCCAAACATTTTCGTTTCTCTACTAATTCATCTGTGACTCTACTCAGCTGTCCTCTTTGTTGGCTTACCCTCAACTGTTAGTATTGGAGTCCAAGTCGAGTAAGTTTTGATGCTTTCTATAATATTCCTCGACGCTAATAGCATAGTTATCCTACTTACACAAATCTTAATCCATCGGAACTCAGCCTAACGCATACACGAGATGTCAAACTACCGTGGTCCTAACCATGACCTGCCTGCTATTCCCCAGCCCTACGGCATACCCAAATAGCGCCTAGCAGATCCTGGCCACTCCACTCAAATGACCCCTCCCCCATCCAACCATCTCGCAACAAAGTACGAAGCGAGACAAGGCAATGATCGTAGCAATCAACCTCGGGACAAGATTCTCTACACTGTGTTTTACCTTTGCGGAAAGTACCGATGCTCGGAAGCTGAACCTTCTGACCACTATCGGCGCTCCAAGTACACCATTCAAAAGTCGATTTGTCAAAAGTACAACAACTGTGAACATTGTCGCACGGTTCAATCCCAGTCGGGTAAATTCAAATTTGCAACAGATAGGGGAAGATTTCGAGAGCTCCTCAGAAGTGAGCTATTTGAACTGTGGACAGGGAAGGGCAGGCTGTTCGAAGATGGATTTGCCAACAGCGACAACACTCCTCCCGATTTTGACTTGAAGCGAATTATGCATGTCATTTTGAAAACATCAGAGAAACTCGAAGATGATTCAACATCGTGAAGCAAAATCAATCACAATAATAGAGACTACTATGAATGGTAAAGCTTGAGCAATTATGAATGTTACTCAGAACCTTCTGAGTCAACCCCCATTCTGTAGAATACCCTATGTAAGCCACCGAGTCTCCTTGGACAAATCTGTCCTCCGCATCTCAGCGTTACACTACAAGACGCTTCCAAAAATATGAGTTCCTCAACGCCTCCACATTATGCCCACGGGGTAATGGAATACCTTTTGAACTGTGATGCACCTTCTCCCATTACTCCCCAACCTTGTAAATACACACCAACGGCGAGAAAGCAAATCCCAGTTGGTAGTGTTTACAAAGTCTTCAATACATACTATCGCAACGTCATCAAATTTCACATCGGCGGCCACATCGGCGACGAAACAGCGGTTCCAGCTGACGCAGTATGTTACACCTTGCCCGATGCCTGCTATTGGATATGCCCCAAAGCCTGCGACGAAGGATTTGAGAAGAAGTCGTGTGCGTAGGAAAACGCAGAATCACTTGCCATGACTGGCAAAGCGGCAGGTACAAGTTTTGAAGGAATTTTGTATGAACAGTGGAGTGAGTATTTGACAAAACTTCAAGAAATGAAGAAATCGCTGTCGGGATATGAATTAGTACCCGTCAGAGTAAACTTGAAAGGACGGAAATTGAGTCAATGGGAGGAAATGGAGACACGAATGCAGACAGAGAAAGATCTGCGAAGGGAGAACCGAAAGACAAGAAACGACTGTGGTAGAAAGGTTGGAAAAATATTTGTTGATTGGTCGGCTTTACCGTAGAAAATCAACCAATATGGAGATGGGATGGCCAAGATGTGTACCTGTGGCTAAGAAGGGTCGGAGCGAGCAGGAAATTTTAATGGTAGATAGACAGATGTTGGAAGTAATGGACAAGCTGAAAACACCCCATCATCAATATTCACTTCAACATGCCATGATTCAGCCAATAGAAACCTCACGTTCCAACTCCTACTCGCCGATATATATTCAAACAACTTCGCAACTTATAACTAATAATCCGCTTCTGGTGCAAGTGGTAGAGCGATTACATCAAATACCATAAAACGAGGTCGAGGATGTTAGCTACAGGCAGCTACAGACCACGCACCTGGGAGGATAATAAAGTCGACGTTATCCTTTTGCCATTCTGAAGCTCGCTCTTTTTTCGGTCCTCTTCTGATGTTTCGAATCTTTATGAACAGCTCCAGCTATCCAGCTAGCCTTTTCATTTCGTTGTTTACTTTGATTTATTTCCAAAGTCTGCACGGCAGTAGTATGGATCTAGAGGAGTGTCGAGATGCATTTTTTGGACAGGCTCATATGGCCCCACTTTCAACCAAATTCACTACTGTCTAATTTACGAGCCTATATCTGCAGATATCAGAAGCTCGTCACTAGTAATAAGTTATGATTCATAAGAATAGATTGCTCTAGCACACGTATTACGAATCCACTACGAGTTATTGCGTGAAAGTGGGACATCGACTTACGTCGCTGTCTGCGGTTTGAGACACTGATTTGAGGCCACACGAAAGAGCAGAGGCAACTGCATAAATCAAATAAAGCTGGCGCATTGAGAAAGCATTCAAAGAGTTGCAGAGTTCATACAGGAAAGGCCTTGATTATGTTCTCGACTTGGTTGGTATATGAAGACCGCGATTACAGCGCCTGGCGCGAATTGTAAATTTTGCTCAGTATTTACTTCTATTTTACTCATTGTCACTCTGAGCTATGTTGTCAGGTTTATAACGCCACGCATCCATCCAAAAACGACCGGATGGATACAGGTACTCAACGCTATGGAATTCAAAAATAGGGATGATATGATGGTGATAGAAAGTCATCGAGCGCTTGCAGTGCTTTTGATATCATGAATGAGTTTGAGATGTTGGAAGCAAATGGGTAGAATGTCCGAAGAAGATACGAGCACTGATATCAATACATTGTTTCACAATACAGCGTACCTAATTGCCCATGCCACATGGATCAACTTTACAATACCAAGATCCAAAATTCAAATATGAAGCGGGCAGTATCATTGTTCATGACCAGCTTAGCCATTCATAAATCTCACAGAAGACAACTCAGATTAAATACACATCACAGCCAAACAACAAAACGGCGTTCAAAGGATATAAATATATTGCATAAACTAATAGACCTGGCCACCGTTCCTCCAAAGTCCGTAAACTTATCCCGCCAAATCTCAAATGTCTCCTAAAGGAACCGAACACAAAACTCATCGACGAGTTTCATAGTCAGGGTACCTCAAGGAAAAGTCTCGAAGAATCAAAATCGTGACCCGGGTTTTATTCTTGCTTCACTGTCCACACTTGCTCGCTCTGGGTTGAGACTCGGCAAGCTCTAGCAATATTTTGAAGCGGATGTTGGGGGATTCTTCTGTTCGAAGAATAGAAATAATGATGTGCTGAAAGAAGAATACCTACTGGTCTTCAGAGAAAAATCAATTGGTTTCCATATTTGATGAGGATCTTGTTGTTTGAAGAACTTTCTCTGCAAGAATGAATGCCATTGTGTACTTGATAAAGAAAGAAACGAATTCTTGAGAAAAATTTCGAGGTTTTCATACGGCTCACTAGTTTCTGCGCTAGCGGAAAACTAGTCTGGACTAGGTAATCTAAAAGCCGTTTGACCAATCCAGAACGATCCACTTCAGCCTCGTCAATAAGGCCTTCGCGTCATGGCGGGCGAACTTTATCAATATCCAAATGAAACTCGCGATTTTAATTTATCCTCCGATTCAATCTGCCTCTTCACAGTAATATCATTTGCGCATCTTTTTGTTATATTGCTTGGTACACAGAATGGTATTCCCGCACCTCCTCGTTTTCCAAATCTAACGAATGACTAACAAAAACCCCAGCCAGCAAAACGCAAAGATACCTCTGCGCCAGCAGCTGGACCGCGGTCCAAGCTAGCTAAAGAACACAATATTACCGCTGCGGAAGAAACAGAGATCAAAGAGGCATTTTCATTATTCTCGCAAAAGATGGAGGGCGAGAAGGAGGGCGTTATTGCTATGGGTGATGTGAGGAGGGCGTTGATGTTTGTGCTACTTCTCTCACTTTTTAGAGCGTTCATTTCTCAGCTTGATTTATTGCATACACGACAGTAGTTCCTGTGAGAGAAGATGTGTACTAATTCTGAAACAGCGCCCTAGGACTAACACCCACCCCCTCCGAACTCCGCGAATACCACAGCATCCTCGACCCGGAAGACGAAGGCTTTACAGTCTATCGGCATTTCGTTGCTATCTGCGCTATTAAATTTCATTCCCGGACTCGAACATCGGACTCACATAAGAAAGATGTAGATGATGCGTTCCGACTGTTTTCAAATGCTGGACAGAAGAAGGGCAGTGGAGGGGGAGATGACATGGGAAGAATTACATTGGCGACGTTGAAGAGGGTTGCGAGGGTGTTGAAAGAGGACGTGGATGACGAGTTGCTGGTTAGTATGTTGTTGGAGGCGAATGGCGGACAGGGAGTTGGGAAGGGTGTGGAAAGAGATGAGTTTGAAGATGTCATGAGGAGGGCGGGGATGTGGAGATGACGGTTGGATGAATGAGTCAATTTGACATATGATGAGCGATCTTGAGCACTTGGCGCACGTGGAGTTTTGGGACATATTGGTGGCGTTCCTGGCATGAAATTTGGGATTGGATTGAAATTACTCTTGATGGAGTCAAATACATGGAGAAATAGGAGTCTAGCGAAGTATATGTTTGTTGCACATATTCCATTTTTTGAGCTGATTGCTCTTAGTACGAACGCCGACAAGATTATGCAAAATCTGGTCCTATCCGTCAAAAACACCTGTCCACCTCGTGAATAACTTTCATTATCTGACCTTGATGATATATTTGTGACGCCAATTCCCATATAATTCCCATGAAATCATGAATGAAACAGCTAGTCTAAACCGCTGGAACCTCCGTCTGAATTTTAGATGCAGGAGACTCAGTCTGTGCGGACTCGGATGTACTTTCCGCTGGTGGAGCTTTGAATCCGGCGTGATCTGAGTGTTTCTTGTAGAAGAAGTTGTCGGGCTTAGGTTTCAGTTCTTGGGGAAGTTCCTCCATTACTGTAGCGAGTAAAGCATCGATGGATTTCTGTTTCGAGGCATCACGGTGCCAGATTGAGATAAGGTGAGAATTGAAACGAACGGAGAGTCCAACACCACAAAGCTGATCGCCTATTCGTATGTTAGTATCGATTCCTAGTAGTGTTTCATTTCATAACCTTCCACACTTCCAGCCCGTGAACTAGAACACTTGTTCGTAGAGCACCCAGTCATTATGGAGACCAAGAATTCGATGTTTTTGACTCTCTTCTATATTCTGATTCCAATTGCTTGTAAAAGGGGCTGGCATTTTTCCAACCGAGGGATTCGTGTAAACCCGCTTACCTGATTCTAAACAGCCTTGAAGCTTCTCTCCAATAGCCATCAATTGAACTCTGGTGAAAAAGTCCGGACCATTTTGCTTAGGGACCCTAAATGTCCAACTACCTCCATTGATATTTCTTCTATCCTCCCAAACTGGTTGGAACCCTTGTTTGAATAAGTAAATCGACTCTCTCATTTTAATCTGATCGAACGGGGTATTGTTGCAATAACGCCAAAAATCCTGAATCGATTCGACTTGTGTAGGAAGCTTGTCAAGGGTAGCAGTATAACTTCCATCTGCGGCAGGCTTTTGATCCTTCTGTTGTCTATTTGGTACCCTGTTAGCAATTGTACGCAATCCAATACCCCACAGAATCCACACATCCCATAGAGAGAAGCACTGACCTATCGAAATATATATCCCAACAATGTTGCGTCGGCAATGGACGCATTGCTTTTAGCATATTCTTTTTTGCATCGTCGCGAGCAGGAGATCCAGTATCGTTTGGCCCGGATGTGGAAATTCCTCGTGTAATGAGCGATGGTCGTAAAGCCATATTGTATAAATGGTATATGTGTTATATTAAGACTTTGATATTGTAATGGGATACTCGACTGCTTCTACCGTTCTCGAGAAAGAAATAATAAAGATACCAAGAGATTGACAAAGCTAAGGGTGGGATGAACAGAAAAGGGTGATAGAGAGGATGAAAGAGAAAGCAATCCGTATTATTGTACAAAGGATGAAGTGATGAAGTAACAGTGGCGCCAAGAGAATGCACAGCAGATCACATCTGAAGCAGTGGATTCAAGATGAAACCCTGAAACAAGCGCCCGAACGGCCCTCTCAAAGAGTAGATACCCCTTGCAATATCCATTTGGCCTTTCACATTGGTTCAATTGGTTGTGCAGAATTGCAGGCCTGACATGCGGCGCGGTCCGGGAAAACTAAAACACGCCCGGTGAGTGGCCGGGAGTGTGATCACGTGGGTCATGGCAATATTTGGCGGTGAGACATAATTGGGGAAGATTTCGATATTGGTTTTTCTTGGTGACGATCACTTCAAATTTAATCATCAAATCACTTTACGGAAACCAAGAAATCACATCTTATCGTTGCTATATTTTTACTGGATTGCTATTACAAGATTCCAATCAGAATAGTGTCAGAATTCCTTTTGGACTCTCGCAACACATATTCTATTCTACCTTTACCCAAACAAAATTCCAGTATCACATAAGCCCTGCTTATACCCTAGTCTTCTGGATACATTACCTATCAAAAGTTCTAACACTCACGAGAGTATATAGTTGTGAGACTTCATTACCCAATCTTTTGTATTCCGGGTCTACCATTGGGTCTTATTACTGAGACACAATACTGAGCTGAGACTATCCAAAACGTCCACTCCAGATCTCAAATCCAATAACTCACCTGACATACCTATTCACAATGTCAGCAACGAAACGCTCCTCCCCTCCCACAGAAGCAATGGAAACCGAATTAACGCCCACCCGAAAAATTCTCGACGCCAAACTTCCCTCTAGAAAACGTACCGCTCTCGGCAAAACTTCTCCAAACACCACTCAACCATCAACAAACCCACCCAAATCCTCATCTCCCGCATCTTCTCAGGCCAACACATCATCCGAAGCCGAAGCTTCATCATCAGAACCTTCTTCTGAAGACGACTCCGAGGATGAGATCCCCATGATCCGTCCCCTAAATGCTCGTCCCGTCATGCGTGTATCCACACTTAACGGATTTGGCGCTTCAGAAGGCCTCAACAATCTTCCTGATTTTCTGAAACAGATGAAAGAAGCGAATGAAGAATTGATGAAGAAGATTGAGAAAGGAGAAGATAGGAAATTGGAGGATGTGAAGGAGGGAGAAAGTTATGTGGAGATGAACTTGGGACTGGGTGTTTTGGAAGAAACGAGGGATGGGGAAAGGGGAAGCGAAAGTGAGAGTGAGATCGAGAAGCAAGATGCTGATGGGGAAAGGAAGATGGGGGAGGGAAAGAAGGCCGGAATTGAGGAACTTTAAAGTACTAGGATACCACGTATTGCTTTGGTGTAATTAATAAGATACAAAAATGAAATCATAAATATTCAAGATTGGAGCTTTATTTGATTGTCAAATCCGATTCGTACGTCAAAGATTGCTATCAAGCTTCAAATTGGGTATACAATTTAAATCTCTCATTGTGCAGAAGAATTGACTTTATCTTAACGGCTTTATTCTATCAAAAGGCATACTATTTGCACTGCTTTGAAGTCTATACGTCTCGATTAACGGATGTTGATCCCCTTGATCTGATCCAAAGATATGGCAAGAACTCAGATTACCACCGCTAATATTAACCAATGCCTGATTAGACTCTAAAACCCGTGCCATAATCCATGGCACTGCATATTCTACCCCCAATCCCTTTCCTACCCTTGGTATAATAAAAAATGCAAACCCCCATAACACCAACGCTTGCCTTATTTTCCCTTCGTGAAGCCATACCAGTCCGTAAAAATCCGCCCTCTACTTATAATCATACGACATTAACCGTCATTTCCCTACCGAAACGCCCCTTGTCGTCACAGATCTTCTTCCTAAACATATCCAGATCCTTTAACAAATCACCCATGAAACCTTGCATCTCGCTTGCTCTCTCCTCACGCGCACCCATATCAATAGCTTCGTCTTCATCTGAATAGTCATGTTCGTAGCCATCGTCTTCATTAGTCGTTTCATCGATAGTTCTGTTCTCCTTATCGTGTCCCAATTCGCCCTCAGTACCGAAATTAATACTGCCCATACTAATAGTCCTAGCAGTTTCCACTTTGATCGGATTCTTCAAACTCTCCAAAGCTAATTTAAGATGCAATCTCAAGGCGTCATTCTCAGTTGTCAAGCTTCGAATTTTACCTTCTGATATCATGGTCCTGTCCTCCATCATTCTTTGCATGAGTGCAATTTTGTTCTGGTATTGCTCAAGTCTTTCGTCTTGTGCTTTAATTTCAGTTTCTTTTCTTGTAGAGTCAGAATTGGAAACCTGAAGTTGTAAAATACGAATCTCCTCTGCCATGGCGGCAATCTGAGCATCACGTTCCGCAGCGGAAACGTGATCTTGGTTGACGACGGCACGCGTGCGAATGCGTTTAGCTTGGTCAGCATAGCGAAGGGTAGAGAGAGTTTCGTCATAATCGGAAGGGGAAATACACGCGATCATTGCGGTTTTACTATTTCCTCCCAATGAATCTTTGAGTAGCCAGGTAAGGATCGAATCTCTGTAGGGAACGACATCTTTGTTGCGTTTTACGGTACGTTGTTGTTGCTTTGGATCTGCGAGAGCTGCAATGACACGACCGAGAGTTGTCAGAGACTTGTTAATATTGCTTCCCTCACGTAGACGAGCACCTGTTGCTTCTGTTGCCTTTGCGCGTTCACTACCTGCAAGATCCACGAGTCGAATTCTGGCAGTACGTTCTGTTGTTTCATCCGTCTCCATATCATGGTGAATCTGCTTGAGCATGATGGTAAAAACACTATGACTTCTGCTACTTGTATCGTTCATCTTAGTACTTGCTGTGGTTCGACTGGCATCTCCCATCTTCATGTACCGCATGATTTCAGAAAGATTCTTAACGGGTACATCGGTCAAATCCTTGATATAAGGTCCTTCGGTGGGGGATTCACGAATCTTCAGATAATAGGGTGGTTGATTGGGGTGAAATGGGACAAGAAGATCTCGGACATGTTCGTTATAAACCTCGAAATAAGATACACGGACATTATAGGAAATGTTTGGACTTTCATTATGTGCTGCCTCGATCCGCTCAAAAAGGTCTTCGCAGGTCCTTGGTATCAATCCTGGCTGATCCTCTGTACCCATCATTGTATAACTCTTTCCTGATCCAGTCTGGCCATATGCAAAGATGCATGTATGATATCCTTCGAAGTTATGGTCCAAGAATTCCTCCCCCAAACTATTATAAACATCCTCCTGGTGTGCATAATGTTCATCAGATTGGTTGTGGCTCCAAAAGGAATTGTCAAATGTAAAGACTTTCTCTTCAATGACTCTGCGCATCTTCGAACGAGAGTTTGCAGGATCTGTATCGTTTGGCACTAGGAGAGTGGTTGCTTGTGTTATTGGATTCATATCAATCAGACACTTAGCTCCTCTATTAATTTCTGCATCGCCGTTAGTAAAATATCCTGACTTCCTGTTCTCCTTAAAATATTCACCTCTAGGAAGAAATCCTCTAACTCTAACCACGACTCTAACATTTCCACCCGCATCTCTGGCTGTAGATACAACACTATCTCTTCTCGATCGCAAAGAAGGAGTAGATGCAGTTGAGACCACACCCATTCCCATGCCTGGCATCAATCGCGGAACGATAGCCATAGCAATTAATGTTTCGTTGATGTCAGCAATCTTTTTAGAAAATTGATGTTGTAAATGTAGGTACATGAAGGGTCCCTTGTAAATAAAGCAATGACGCGAAATTGTTGGCTAGGTGAAAGGCGGACCGGGGTTTTATGCAGGAGTTTCGCTTCGATGTTTGCTAATGTGGTTATTTATGGTGGTATATTGGGGTAATAAGTGGGTTTCAGTATTCAACGATTTATCGTCGCAGATCAATTTGATTTGAATATTTCATAGATCCAATTGAATATCTTGCGCTTAGGAAAATGAGAGAAAAGAAAGGTGAAGAGAGAATGGAGTTTGGAGATCGCGCGCTTGTTTACATACTGTACATGGTATTGTGAAGTTCGCAGTTAGTCCCTAGATAGGTTAAGCACCGAGCCACCAACGCGCCACGCTCTGAAATCCTTCAAAAGCTTTCCCAATTGAAATTTCCGGTAACAATTATTTTTGTTTGTGATGAGACCCAATTATATTTACAGTGAGAGCAAATGTCGTTAGAGCTACCTAGGTATATACTTCATTGCCGTCAGTATCATTCAGGATTTAACTATCATACTAGTGCATAGTGCTAGTGTCTCGGTACTGATATAGCAACAAGATTTAGATTTGTTTGTGCTAAATAGTTTCTCAGTTAGCTCCTTATTAAGCAATATCACAACAGTGTGAACACATGATATCACTATACCCATGTTATTATCAACAATTATAACACAACAACTCTAATAAAGAAACATAGCGAGAATTCCAACTCTAAAACGGAGGTGGGGAACGGTAAAGGGAAGGGAGAAACTCTAAGGAATGTTTCTAATTCGAAGTCTCTCAGGCAACAGCTTTCAAAATGGGACGTATCATCTTTTCTACCGCTCTTGTGGAGGCTGCTATTAAGGGCGGAGGTGAACTACGTCCCCAGTTTTCATACAACCGAGAGAATAATGGGCCCTCTGTATCGCCAGGCACGCCAGGATAGCCGAGACGATGCATCAGATCTACAGGGCCAAATTAGTTTTCAATCAAATACATAACAACTCTTCACATTGACGTAGCTCATAAAGTAGTAAACACTAGCAGGCCCCAGCTTGATCACTCGGTATCCGCAGTTTTTGAGCTCCTAGATAAATACTGCGTTCTTGTTTATTTCGGTATATAGAATTCTCGAGTAGCCGAGTAGATATTCGTTGCCAGCCTCTCTTGGATCATAGTAACGATGCTCAAGACGATCAATCATCTAAATCTGGTTTTGTTAGGCAGTCGCGGGTATTGTACATAGTGATACGAATTACAAACGGATAATGTGGGGTTTGTTTATATTTTAAGAAGCAATATTGGATTACTAATAGGCTCATCAATCGACACCTTCTCAGATTCACACCTTTTCCCTAGACGCCAAGGGAAATCTCACCTATACTGATACCAAGGTACCCCATGCAAAGAGCAGATCTGATTCTATATGTTGTTCCCCCCTTTCCAAATCTCCAGCCGTCCCCTCCAATCCAGACACAATATGCGGTACGCCACATCCTGGTGCCGAGCTCTGCTCCATCCCTTGCTTTCCTAATATTAAACCAAACTTCAATTTTGTTTGTTTAATATTCTTAGTGAGAGCATCCGCGCCCAAAGAAGCACCACTAGTCAGCTGGTATTATTTGCGAAATCTTCGATTGCACGAAAGATGGATTAGTTTCGACACTGGTAAGGCTGCCTGGGACAAGTAGCGTGCAAAGGTTCGATGCCTGCTTTCGTATCATTGGGGGCTCTCATTATTGAGATAGATGGAGATTAATGAGTTTCTTTTGAAAACAGTGTGAAGTGCACAAAAAACAGATAAGATGCGACTGTACCATTCTTACTTGTATGATGCTGAACCACCAGTCGTTGATTAGTTGTTTTGACAATCTGGGTCAAACCGTTTTAAGTATTGCTATGGTTGCTTGAAAAGATATGCGATAGCTTTTAAAGCATACGTGCATCAAACTATAAGCTGAGTATGACCGGCTCTATATGCGCTGAGGTGAGGGGAGTGATCAGTCGCAGTTCCAACGGACAACATAATATACAAGATAGTCAAGGAAACACGCCGCTGGGGGCTGTATCTTAGTAGCCTGCATGTAACATTACATCAAATTAGTCTTGCTGGAAGCTCAAAGTAAAGAATCTTGCTGGAGTGATCTCGAATGAAGCAAAACTATAGATATGCTCCATGCAGGTGATCCTTATCTTATAATTCACTTCCAGACACAATCTGCGTCTCTCCAGCCTCACACTCTCCCTCGAATCAATTTTCGAACCAGGATCCTTTGGATTGTCCCGCCTCAGCTCAAGGCTCTGCATATCATGCATGTTGAAGGTGACCACCGTGCTGCAGGGTAAGAAGAACTTTCTTCCGGACTACATTGCACAGCATGATGTATAAAACAATTGATGACCCTCTAAATAAAAAACTTAGACTTGCGCTTGCATTTCGTATTCACAGACAGATGCATTGGAAGCAACGAGAGGAAAAAACATATGTTTAATGTCTGCATTCAAGAAAACTGTGGAAACCAGGTCGAGAAACTCGGGAAACACCCCTGCAAGCATTTCGGGAATTGAGAAGACGATGACGTCTCGTAGAATCTCGATTTAAAAAAAAGTGAGTCTGGAAATTAAACAATTGCTGATTAATTATATACTCCTTATTGATTCATGACCCACGGGGTGAGTCTAGGTATTGACAATTATGAGATTATCAACTGATTGGGGTGCGTCGTTGCGTTGCAATGTGATTGTGTAATACTGTTTGTGAATGGGTGAATGGCGTCAATCTCATCGGGCGCAGACTTTTTTCTAGGAATTTCCATTTATTTAACTCACTCAGGCTTCCGCTTGGATATTTTATTTATTCAAAAACCAACAAAAGATAAAATAAATCACAGCCTCTTCCACATCATACATACCATCTCATTTACATTTGAAGCATAAACACCACACTCAAATATATCAAAACTAAATCTACGAATACTCCATCAATTAACTGAAATTCAACATGAGAGCTTACTGGTTTGATAACAAGGAGGTAAAGTACCCCTCACCCCCACTGCACTACCCCTCCTTCTATTTTCTTTTTTGCTAACAAACAGATTTCTATAGGGCGACCAACGTGAACTTCATGACTCAGGTCGCGACGTTAACCCTGAGTATTTGGAGAAGCTCGGAGTTCTCTATTACAGATTCGCAGATGAGAAAGATGTCGACAAGCTCGCATCTGACAGAAGTTACAAGAATCGCGATGTAATTACGGTTTCACCAGAGAAAATGGGCGATATATATGAGGAGAAGGTCAAGTCGTTCTTCAATGAACATTTGCATGAAGATGAGGAGATCAGATATATCAGAGATGGAGCGGGATTCTTTGATGTTAGGAGTGAGGGCGATGAGTGGGTTCGTATTAGGTTGGAAAAGGACGACTTGATCGTAAGTATTCCTGATACATGCGCTGGAATCGTGTTTGAACAGAGACTGATTTTGCTGGACAGATTCTTCCAGCTGGTATCTACCATCGTTTTACCACCGATGAAAACAACGTATGTTGCTCTCTATGATATTCTTAGCATGCGCCGTTACTAACAAAAGAATAGTATATCCAAGCAATGAGATTGTTCAAGGAAGAACCTAAATGGACTCCTTTGAACCGTGGTCCAGAAGTCGATGCCAATCCATACCGCAAGGAGTATTTACAAACTGTTCCTGCAATCGCAGGCCAATAATGGAAGAGGGGAGATGGAAAGGTAGATGATGGAAGTGAAACGGCGATAACGAAGTAATGAAACACTGCAAGCTGAATATGATAGCATATGATGATAGGTAGCAAGAATGCGATCTCGGGAGTTTTAACGATTTGTGTCTGAGTTCGGTCTGACTGAAATACTGTACACTGTTGTCGCATTAATGAATCGGCATGATAAAAGTCACATAGCTCACTCATACTTTGAACTCATGCCAAATACCTTTCTAACTACCTATACCTATCTAAAATACCTATTCCCATCCCATTCCATCTTATCATCAACGTCAATCATCCATCAAGGTAAAGAGAGATGCCGACTTACGTCATATCATCCCGTGTGGTGAATGAAGATATATAAGATAAGACGAAGTTTTTGAAGACGATAAGAGTCTGTAAACAAACCGATAACGAATTGCTACTAAAACGCCCATCTCCATCAGATTCGCAATTCTTGGTCAAATTCCCCGGGACAATTTAACTCAAGATTCCCGAACCTTTGCGATTCTGGATCTGCAATAAAATTCTTACTTTTCCCAAAAGCCCCAAAGCTGACGGTGCTAGCAGACATGCAACAAATCTTTTGGGAAGGGGAAGCTTACCCCGCTATTGGCTAGTTTTCCCCAGCTCCCTCAATGTCACCGTGAGAGCGCCAACTCATCATCGCCATTTACGATTCACGACTTCGCACAAATCAATATATAAAGGAAGATGAAGGAGAGGAATCCAAAAGAGGGAGAAGGCCCCGCTGACACTCCCGATTTTGATTCTTACAACAATTTACTACCATCGGGACGAAATGTCCCTCACAGCAGTGCGTACGACAGCATGTCTCCCGATTTTCTCAAAGTCGAAAACACTATCAATGCCGATGGTAAAAAGATAAAGCTACAACTTCCTTTGAGTTGTGAGCCTCCGGGTCCAAATAATAAGACAAAACCAAAGGTTTGGATAGTAAGTACTCTAATTTGCGCCCCAGCAGACAGATCGTCTATCTATCTGATGAAGGCCGTTCTACACCTTCCATTTCCTAACTCAGCATCTAGATATTTGGCGCCAGTGGCCATATGGGCCAGAGTCTCACACGAGCATGTCTTTCCAAAGGCGACGAAGTTGTTGCCGTCGGCCGGATCAACGAAAATACAATCGAATCGATGCAAACCACATTCCCGCATCCAAACTGCTTCAATACTCTTTGCGACGTGCGTGTACGAGAATCCGTATCTACAGTTATAGAACAGGGACTTGAAAAATTCAAGCGCATCGACGTGATAGCCAATTGTTCGGGCTACGGCGTCATCGGCGCATGCGAAGATCAAGACGAGCACGAAATCCGCAATCAATTCGAGACGAATTTCATGGGCACTGTACATATTATCCAATTGAGTCTACCATACTTTCGCGAGCAAGGAGCGGGGAGATACTTGATATTCAGCAGTACCTCAGGCGCGCTGGGCGTTCCGGGCTTGGGACCATATTGCGCGACGAAGTATGCGGTGGAGGGAATGATCGAAGCGATGCTTTACGAAGTGGATGCTTTCAATATTAAAGCTACATTGGTAGAACCGGGGTTGGTGAGGAGAGATGAGAAGGAATTGGCTTCGGGTCCGTTACCTACTTGGGGACACTTTTTGATTAAACCTCCCAGTGAACCATATTCCGATCCAACTTCGCCGGCGTTGCATGCGAAGAGAATGGTTCAGTGGCTGGGAGATAAACAACCTACTAGTGCTAAGAAATGCGCAGATTTGGTTTGGCAATTAGGTCATTGTTCCTACCCGCCTCTACGATTACTTCTAGGGAGTTACGCTATAGAGAGTATCAGAGATCGTTTGCGATCTATCATAGAAGAGTTGGAGGACTGGAAGCATCTTCATCATCCTATAGCTCCCGTTGATGAGCTTGATAACGAAGAGGATTCAGACGATGCTCGAGATGTAGATATGTCTGCCAAAACGAAAAAGGAGGACCGAGCTGCAAAGCAGGCTGCGGCGAATTCATTAAAAGTAGAGTCGGATGCAGACAGTAGTTCATGACCACGCTCAACGAGTTATCAATAATTGTAATAATATAATAATTGTACGATCACTTGTGATTATGATATGAACAAATGTCCTCAAAACCTCAGCACTAGATGTAGCATAGCGGTTAAAGTAAATCTCTGCTGGTTGCTTCTACTGAATGGCTATATCAGTGAACAATAATGTTCACACCCAACCGCTTCTTAAATCCCAAACGCCTTTCCATGCAATTTCATCATGATACCTATTCTATGATGCGCTTTTATTTATTTATCTGACTTCCGGTCCTGGCGCTGCGGCCATTGCAATATCGTTATTGATTGCATCCGCCGTTTCCTCTCTCGGTTGTCTCTCAAACAATCTTCTCCAAAACATTGGTGGATCAAATGGACGATGTCCATTGTGTAGCGGTGGGTAAACGTCGCAAAAAAAGTACCAAACATGACCAATGACTATTCCCATCAATTCATCCTTTGGAACTGTCCCATGCAAAACCAGACTGAAGCCCATCAAAACCCACGGTAAATATGGAGCCGTGAAAACTAGTAAGCCGAGGAAACTTAATTGTGTATCGGGATTTCGTCTCGACCAAATGTATACGAGAGTCGAGGATAATGGGTGTCCTAGAAATGGCATTGAGACCAGAGGATTTATGCAGATAAGACAAGTCATCGCATAGAGTAACAGCCATGAAAAATGCGCCGCCGATCGACCGGATGATTCTTCAAGGAGTCGCGAATATCGGGTTAAGAAGAATACGTGGAAAACGAGATCCAGGGATAAAGGACCAAAGTATATAAAAGTGGTCAAGAGGCGCCAATACTGTTTGTCGAGAGAAATCAGCACGGGTCCAAGATGCGAAAGCACATGCGCAACGGGGAGAAACCAATCATACCTGCGACTTCACAAATACAGCTCGAAAGCTGTAGAATAATTGAAACGGCGTAACAATTTGACATTGTACCAGCGCGCTTGTAATCACTGTAGCCGTCGTCCACCATCTTGTACAAACAGGCATTTCCCAAAACCAAGTTTCGAGCGGAAACCCGGCTGGGCCCCCTTCCCCATTTCCCATCATTTGATCCATAATTGGATGGATGAGGGTATTGATAGAAGTAATGCAATAGTAATGCGACAATGAGGCTCGGAATGTGGGTATGGGATAAATCGAGGAGAGCTTGCGTAATGAATGGAGTTAATGGATATTTCGAAGTTTCAAAGAGCAGATATGGAGGAAATCTTAATACTGTTTTCCTGTGATATGAGGCAATGCGATTCCTAGATAATTTTAGTTTGACAAAAATAATTTTTTTGAAAAGGAAGGTCGTGGGTTCGTATTTATAATTTATGTGAAGCTCATGACGTTTCTTTGAACAAGTTGTCCTGTTCTAATAAGGTCTAACGACGACTAGCCTTTGACCCGGCGGTCGATCTTAGATAAGGCAAGGCTGACAGCTTTCAGTCTCAGCCTTGAATATATGTAGCCATATTTCCTTTTTACCAGATGGTCCAAGCGCGTCGGAATTGTAAATATGGTTGCTGTGGTTCCCAACCCTTCAATATTCAACTCCAGACTAGACCAGACCAGAATTACTAATTGAATATATTTCTCTCTCAACCTACCCTTTGAAATCCCACGCGATTTCACCTCTCAAATTTTGCTAAGTTCGGTCTATCTAGCTTCAATTGGATCAGCTGTCTAAATACTAAGGACGCGCATCTTCGCGCAAAACCGCGTCGTCGAATCCACCCGGCCACAACAATATTCCCAAGAACTCCGCAACTTGAACATCACTTTGCGCAATCACAGCGAAAAACACATTTCATCGACGAAGACCCATAAAGCTTGGATTATAATCAAAATTCACAATGTCGCAAATGCAAAAGAAAAAGCAGCGTTTGTCACTGGACGACGAATCAGCAGGGGGTACCCCAAGAGCAAACGCACCAGGCAGACCAGCAGGAAAATCTGTTGCGGGAAAGAGCATGAGTAAAAAAGCAAGGGATAGTGCTGTTAGAGGTAAGCCGGAGTTTGTTCTTGCATTTCAACGACTTGCGCGCGCATTTGAATCGGGTCAACAAGTCAATTTCTTTTCTGACATGAAGCTCGGGGGGAAATCATAGTGCATATTAAACTCAACATACTGACTCAATTGATGTGAATAGCCGGAGATCCAATTCCCCAAGGAAAAAAGCGCCGTTATAAACCTGGTACCTTGGCTCTAAAGGAAATTCGCAAGTTCCAGAAGTCTACCGATCTGCTCCTTCTCAAACTTCCCTTCTCACGTTTGGTTCGTATTTATGCCCTAATCAACATTGCAAAACCATATCTAACAAGGTACGAATCTAGGTCCGTGAAATCGCTCTCTCAGTACGTCCTCAAGGTGAGGGAATGCGCTGGCAGTCACAAGCTATTCAAGCGCTTCAAGAATCAGCTGAAGCATTTCTTGTCCATCTGTTCGAAGATACGAACTTGTGTGCTATTCATGCCAAGAGAGTCACAATTATGCAGAAGGATATACAACTTGCAAGACGTATTCGAGGTGCATGGGGTGGTTTGGGTTAGGCTATGACAATTACATGGTTAAATGCCATATAATTGTTAAATTCGCTTTGGAAATTTTGTCAGATTAGCTTGCCTGGATAGGGACTTTATCTTTAGTATAGGGAAGGCGTATATGGTTTCATGGCTCTCTACAAGTATGGGAGGAATTCGACTGATATGAGGACGTATAAGCATTGAAGGTCTATGCTAGATGAAGTAAATATTTGCTTCTCTTTAACAGTAGACCTGGCTTGTTCAGCAAGGTAGTATATGTGTGCCTTAAGATTTCCTCAAGTCTATAAATTTTATTCAAGACGAAACACTTTTTTTTTTATCATCGGCTTTTCAGCTGTATGTAACAGTTGTTCCGTCTTGCGCAGGTTCCAACAATTTCCAATCGCATTTGATATCATTCTTCGCAAAAGTATCTAAAATGACATTCGCAATTGCATCAAAGTTTTCTGTTGCAAGCGCAAGAATAGTTGGACCGGCTCCAGATAAACAGATTCCACACAGCCCGGGATGAGATTTAGGAGTGACAGATTGTAAGATCTCAGGGAGACCTGGTATCAAACCCTTTCTGTAAGGTTGATGTACTTTGTCTTGCATCGCGAGATAGATTTGTTCTGCATCCGGTGGTGATCTTCCAAGCGCTGAAGGCAGAAGAGCAATTCTTTGAAGATTGAATACTACATCTGACCTGGAATACGAAGAGGGCAGAACACTTCTCGCTTTTGCGGTTGCGACTTCGAATTGTGGAATGATGGCAATGGCTTTAATTTCGGGAGCCCAGGGAAACTTCATGTAATGACCAATTCCAACTGGTGGTTCGGGAGGATTGGATCCAGTATCTACTCCTCCGGCAGGTTCAGGGAGCACTTCGCTGAGCGGAATCTCTTTGCGTTCTGTGTCTTCGGCGCTCAGTTCGTTGAGGTACGTTCCAACAAATCCTCCGTACAATGCTGCGGCTACGTTGTCTGGATGGCGTTCTGTGTATATGGTTAGATATATTCCGCTTGATGGACCACTCAACCGTACCGATCATGAGACAATAATCCAACATCCTCGCCTTCGACAATTTCAGCTTCCCAACTTCATTGGCCAGCGCAACACCAGCTACGACTGCCGCCCCCGATGATCCGAGTCCGCGTCCCAACGGAATAGGATTGATAATGTGAACTGACGTTTCGGAAGGAAAGCTTCTCTGGCCGTGACAGCGCAAAACATACAACGCAGTGCGCGTAATCAGATTGCTATCCGCCGTCAACGGAACCTCTTCCGCGCCCTGTCCTTCATATGTGATTTTGCAATTGAGCGGTGCGTGCGACGTCACCGCGGTATCGACATCGACATGTAACTCGAGCCATATGGAAAGAGCGAGCCCGATAACATCGAAGCCGGGGCCAATGTTCGCAGAGGAGCAGGGTACTTCTACATGGACGTCAGTTTCGCAGTTCTTGCTAGCATCGCCGGAAATGTTTCTTTCTCATGAGAACGAGGTTTGGTGCGGCGCTGAGAATATAGAGATGACGGACTTATGGTAATCATTTTTCTTTTGAGCTGGGGTTTTAGAAGCTCGAGACGGGAGGTGTCAATGAGTGATTCGGCATGAAATGCAAAATGCTATCGAATCATTCGATAAACTTTACTGTAACCTTTTTTATCAGCCTTGCCCGATATCGCTATTAAATTGGAAAATTTTGGTATATTAGCTAGGATTATAGTCAGAAAGGTTGAAAGTGGAATAAAATAAATATAATTCGTTCGCTTGGAGCAGATCATGCTCGGACCGTTGTCAAGATCCACTTAAAGTTCTCACACCACTGGTGGACCACCAGTGGACCACCAGTGGACCACCAGGACATCGGTAACAGAATGACTAATCGGACAATTTTTAAGAGTCTCAGCAATTCGTTATTAATAGAATTAGAATTAGAATTAGAATTAAATTTATATATTTCATTAGTACTAGCCGTCGGGAAAAGAGAGTTTGAAGTCTACGAATTCGTAGGATTTCAAAATTATTATAATAATTCATATGAAAATTCTACGAATCCGTAGTCTGAAAATACTTTTCCCCCGACGACTAGTATAACATAATTGCTCCCATCTCATGGCGATCCGCCTTCCCATTTTCTCGTTCTTCCTGCCTACTACCTAGGTAGTTTTTAATTCCACGAGTCCAAATTTCTCAACTCACAGCCTTCACCTGATCTCTTGATCAATTTTCCAATAGTATAAACCTTCTCACCCGACTCCTCCAATTCTCTCACAACCTGCTCTACATTCTCCTTTTTAACTACTGCTACCATTCCAATACCCGTGTTGAAGGCTCTAGCCATCTCGCTAGCTTCGACATTACCTGCGTTCTTCAACCACTTGAACACATCCGGTAATTGCCAAGTAGCGACATCGATCTCGGCAGCTAGATGAGATGGCAACATTCTAGGAACATTTTCAGTCAAGCCACCACCAGTGATGTGGGCCAAGCCAGTGACCAAATGCTTCTGGACCACTGGTTTCAGGGAGCGAACGTAAACGCGAGTAGGCGTTAAAAGATTTTCACCAACGGTGGTGGAAGGATCCCATGGGCACTTGTCTTCTTTATAGGAGAGACCTTCTCTCGCAATAATTTTTCGCACGAGAGAGAATCCATTGGAGTGAACTCCCGCAGATGCCAAGCCAATAAGGACATCACCTTCTGCCATCAAATCTGTCCTTGGTAATCTGTTCTCCTTCTTTACAACTCCCATGGCGCAACCTGCAGCATCATAATCATCTCCTTGGTACATACCAGGCATTTCAGCAGTTTCACCACCAACGAGTGCACTGTTGGCATCTTTGCACCCGTTAGCAACACCTTCTACGAAATCTGCTGCGTTCTTAAGCTTCAATTGACTGCAGCCATAGTAGTCGACGAATCCAAGCGGTTCAGCGCCTGCAACAATCAAATCATTTACGTTCATCGCGACCAAATCAATACCAACTGTGTCATGCTTCTCCATAGCTTGTGCAATGGCAAGTTTGGTGCCAATCCCATCAATGCACATAACTACAGTTGGGGCACCCGCATAACCAGCAGCTTCCAAATCAATCTCTCCACCGAACCCACCGATTTCAGCATCGGCTCCTGGTCTTCGGGTAGAAAGAACTGCTTTTCTAATACGTTCGACAAAGTTATTACCAGCATCAATGCTAACACCTGCGGATGCATATGTAAGTGCTTCCTTTGTAGCAGATGAAGACCTGAATGCCCGATGAGCAATATCCTTGCGGTAGAACATTTTATCGAACTTGATGAGATCGACAGTAGTATAAGCATCCTTTACGGCCTGCTCGAGAGTTTCTGCAACAGCTTGTGCTGCGATGACACGTCCACCAGATGTTTGTAACTGACCATCCTTCACCACGGTACCAGCATGGAATATATTGGAACCTGCCGGAGGTGTGCTGACTTCCATGGGTGTGCCTTTGGCGTATGAGCCTGGGTATCCACCAGCAGCTACCACAACCGTCGCACTGAATTTTTGATCAATCTTGATCTTCGCTTCGTCGAGGGACCCCTGAGTACAGAGAAGCATGATCTCTGCAAGATCGGTATCGTCACTCAGCAATGGTAACAAAGTCTGTGTTTCTGGATCACCGAAACGAACATTGTACTCCAAGGTTTTTGGTCCATTCTTGGTTATCATCAAGCCGGTGAAAAGAGTTCCGACGAAAGGTGTACGCTCTTTTCTCATGCCGCGAAGCGTGGGCTCCAATACAGTTCGCTCGATCTCTTCGATTAATTTTTGGGTAGCAATTGGAATAGGCGCATAACATCCCATGCCTCCAGTATTTGGACCCTGATCACCGTCGAAAATTCTCTTATGATCTTGAGCCGCAGGTAAAGAGTACATGTTGTAACCATCGCAGAAAGTAAGAATGCTGAGCTCATCGCCCTCCAAGAATTCCTCGATGACAACCTCATCTCCAGCAGCCCCAAATTCTCGATCAAGCATAATATCCTTGAGTCCTTGGTGGGCTTCCTCCTTCGATGTTGGAATAATAACACCCTTTCCAGCCGCCAATCCACTAGCTTTAATGACAACATTATGGTTCACGCTATCAATGTATTTTCGCGCTTCTTCGTAGTCCGTAAAGTTCTCGTAAGCCGCAGTTGGAATGTTATACTTCTTCATGAAATCTTTCGAAAATGCTTTGCTTCCCTCCAGACGCGCGGCAAGTTTTGATGGTCCATAACAAGCTATGTCTGCCTCACGGAAATAATCTTGGATTCCATCAACGAGGGGTGCTTCTGGTCCCGGTACTACCTACATGTAAAGGTAAGTAATTGCTTAACAAAACCCGAGCACTTAACTGGAATAAAAAGCCAGATCAATGTAGAAATTAGAAACTCACCAGGTTAATATTATGTTTCTTGGCCAAAGCAACAAGTCCCGGATAATCATCAGCCTTGACACTGGAATCATTGGAAACTTTTGGACAATTTGCAGTTCCTCCATTTCCTGGGACTGCGATGATGGACTCGACTCGGGGAGATTGACTGAGTTTCCAAGCCAAAGTATGCTCCCGACCACCATTTCCGACAAGGAGGATTCGAATGGACTCCATTGTGAAATTCTAAATTGTGTTGGGGTATTGAACGTATGAAAAAACGGTTGGAGAACAAAAGAAGAGTCTTCAAATTCAATGCGATCATCGGGATGAATCATTTTCTGCCCGCTTAGTGTCACCGCCTGGTAAGAATTTTAACCCCGCTACTATCCTCCCCACATTACCCCTCCATGATTTAACCGATCTCATTTGATGAATTTGATTCTTTAGTACAACCTAGAAGGTATCGTATATTACTTGGTAGTTTATGACAATGTTCCGAGACCATTCAATGTTAGGTTCTATTTGGTTTAAATTTACTCTTTCAAAAGCTCTCAAATGTTTAAAGTATTTAATTCTTCTGATTCTTCTGATTCTTTTGCTTGAGATATTATTCACAAATCAATAGACACCAAATGAGTGTTGAAAGGATGCAAAAAGTTATATGCTGACTGCTTTATATTGTAATTTCTTGAGCTTTGTGAATTTATATTTTTGAGATGAGTTGAGAATCTCTAAATACCTAGATCTATCTTTCACGCCTCTACACATACCATGCCATTTGATGTGATGGTATACCAAACCCTAACCTCTTTCTCTTTTCCCCTATTGTATCCATAGAAGTGACGTTATTGGTATGAACAAAGTGCCACCCATATCTCCTTCCTTCCTGTCTGTCATTCAATCATTTTACTCTTCTTTCTTAATTCACATAGTGCACTCCGTTCACCAAACCTAACCAGCCTATTTACCATCCCCTCCCCTGCATCTTCTCCTTGGGGTCCATCGTCCCACAATTCAACCCCACCATTGCCTCTCCCAAATCCTCACTCACCTCCGCCAAAACCTTTGCATCGTTGAAATGTGTCGTCGCCTGCACAATTGCTCTGGCGCGCTTTGCCGCATCTCCGCTCTTGAAAATTCCGCTGCCGACGAAAACTCCATCACAACCTAATTGCATCATGAGGGCCGCATCGGCAGGGGTAGCGATACCACCCGCTGCGAAATTAACCACAGGGAGACGGCCCAACTTTGCAGTTTCTTTGAGGAGTTCGAATGGAGCTTGGATATCTTTCGCGAGGATGCGCAACTCCTCGTCAGACATGAGAGAGGCGGCGCGGATCTCCGAGGTTACTTGGCGTTGGTGACGCACGGCTTCGATAACGTCGCCAGTGCCGGCTTCACCTTTGGTACGGATCATGGCGGCGCCTTCGGAGATGCGGCGGAGGGCTTCACCGAGGTTACGGCAGCCACAGACGAAGGGGATGTTAAAGGGGTGTTTTTCGACGTGGTGGAGGGCGTCGGCAGGAGTAAGCACTTCGGATTCGTCGATGTAGTCTACGCCGATGGACTGGAGGATCTGGGAGGGGCGGAGGTGTTAGAGAGGTTTGAAAGAGAGGGGAAGAGATGGGAAGAGAAGAAGGAAGGTAGACAAATGAGAGGGAGAACTAACCTGACATTCAACAAAATGACCGATTCTCGCCTTGGCCATAACAGGTATCGTAACCGTGTCCATGATCTCTCGAATCATCTTTGGATCCGACATGCGGGCTACGCCTCCCTGAGCACGAATATCGGCAGGGACTCGCTCGAGCGCCATGACGGCTACTGCGCCTGCTTCTTCTGCGATGCGGGCCTGGAGGTGGGAGATGTTAGTGGTGGGGGGGTTTTTTTGGAGGGTTGTTTGTATTTTGATGGATGATGGATTGAAGGGAAAGGGAAAATCGTAAGTTACTTACTTGTTCGGCATTGACTACATCCATAATCACACCTCCTTTTAACATTCGCGCCAAGCCGGTCTTGACGACAAAGTCAGAAGAGGTATTGTTGCCATGTCCGTTTCCATTTCCATTGGTGGCGCTGGTGGGTAATTCGTTGGACATTTTGTTTGTGTGGTTGATTATTGAAGAGAGGAGAAGAGGACAAGTAAAGTGTGAGATTCTTGTTCTAAGGTAGTGTAAGAGCTACAATAGAAAGAGATGAAGTATGTCGGTAAGTAAGTAATAAGTAAGTAAGAAGTGTAACTTTTAAATGAAGAATCCAAAGAAGAAATCTATATCAAATATGTATGTATGACTGTATTCGGGTGAGAAGTAGATAGATAGGTAGGTAGGTGTATATATATATATATGAGGAAAGAAAAGAAATCCAAATTATTAAAATACTTTCCCTTAGTAAAAGATCTAGTTTAGCATATGACTCTTCTCACTCCCACTCCCACTCCCACTCCCTTCATTTCAATCTATCTCAGTCTTGGTATAAAGTCAGTTTTTTCGTGTTTTGATAGGTCAATTGATGCATCCATCCCATGGCGTCCGTACCTAGGTAAGCAGGTAGGTAGGTATGGTGGTACTAGGTATATTTTTACTCATCATCGCATTCTCATGCCTCTCTTATTAATTCGAATTCACAAATTCACTAGGTGGGTTAGGTACTTGCCCCTCCGATCGGTAAGTAATGCCGAGACACAGACAAAGAAAGGATGCCTACCTAGGTACCTAGGTATTACTAAATAATTTACTACCTAGATGGGTAAATCGACCTCTTGGTACGTGTAGATATCCTTATAACCCTCAGATCCAAACCTCCTGATTGGTGAGATGACACTCATTTATAGGATCTGGGTATAACGTGGGGTTATTTAAGGTTATATTATATGCAGGGTTTATGTTTTATTTTCTTCTGTTGTTTTGTACGGGTAGGAAGACTAGTACCCTTTTAGGCTAGAGCGGCGATCGAGGGGTATGCACTTTGGGCTGGGTAGATACGCTTGGGATCGGGGAAGGAGTTTGCGAGAATTTGGGGGAGTGTTGGGGTTGGATGATTGGGATGGATGATGGATGGGCGTGTATGATGTGTATGTGTGTATGTGTGTATGTGTGTATGGAAAGATTCGGAATGTTGGATCATACAAAAGAGGAAGAAGGAGTTTGCGAGGTGGATGAATGGATGGAGTTGGTTTGAATGCATAAATATATGTACCGGTATGAATGATTGTATGAATGTATGCAGTAATGGCCCGAGGAGATGTAATGATGAGTAGACAGATGATATATGGGATCTTATTAATATATTGTTGGGTTTTGTTTGTTGGACAGATCGTATAGCCAGCCATATGGCGGATATCGTAGATGATTGACGGATACGAATAAGAGAATTTAGGATGTTTGGGAAGTGCCTAGGTAATTCCCTAGTATGTTACTTATGACTACCTAGATAGGATATGGGTATTATCCGCAGTGGTGGGTGTATCTGGTGTTTGAATCGGAGTTCGGTATTCTGATCTCGGGGTAATTATTATGATCTGAGGATTTATAGTAACATAGGTATGATGTGATAACTATCTGATATATAAATAATTGTACTCCTTCTAGATATCATTTCTTCTTCGAGATGTAATGACCAGAGATTCTATCCCATATATAAGAGATGGATCATCATCTAGGTATCACACAAAATACAGATATAGATAGAAATAAAAAATGTTGCTCTCTTATCCTTATCGATATCGTGACGTCACTTGATTTATTATCAGAAACATAGCATATCACATACAACATCAAATTGACTTTACGGGTCTATACCTTCACGTCACCTCACTTCACTTCACTTCATCAATCAAACAAACAAACAAACAATCATCACTCACCACTCTCAATTACCCACCTAAAAATTCCCTCTCCCTACCATCCCATCCCAACCCACCACTCTCAACTCTCACCCACCCCCAACACCCCCCAAAATGTCCCGCCTCCTCCTCCGTACTCCCCGCCTCACAGCTTCCGCACTAGGACTCACCTCCTACGCTTCCTATTCCCTGCTCCAATCACACCGCTTTCCCGCGCGCTTGGATTCGCTCTCCTCGCCGCTGTCGAAGAATGGGAATGCGCCGATGATTAAGAAGGGGGGTGGCTTGGATTCGAAGACGGTGAGCCAGATTAGTAGTGGGAGTATCGTCGGTATGTACTTTCTTTCTTTGTTTTTCTCCGATTTTAGTTTTGATTTTTTGCTTTTTGAGGGACAGGAAGAAGAAGAAGAAGAGGAGAAATGGGAATAAAGGGACGCGAGGGGAGAAGGCGGGGAATATGCAAACTAGGCAACGTGAAGAGACGAGGCAAAAGAAGAAAGCAGGAAGAGGCAGCCATTTGAAAAGAAATCCACAAAGAACCCGCACTAACAGCAGTTCCCTCACAGGACTAGGAGCCGGTCTGGCTGTCAGTACATTTTCGCGTTCGCTCGCGCTGATCATCGGTTTAATGGTCGTGGGGATACAAGTACGTTTTTCCCTTTTCTCTCCTCCACCCACTCCTCCTACCACCTATTTGTCCTTTCCCATTTACTTCTTCAACACTTCTCATTCATAGTCTACATCCACATCAATTCCCTATCTCTTTATCCTCCTCTCCCACCTCCCCTCCTAATGAACCCACAACCATCTAACATCTTCCTCCAGTGGGCCTCTTCCCACGGCCTCGATATCGTCCCTACAGACCGAATTCAGCGCTATATCAAACATGTTAATTTGCGTTCCCTCGTGGAAGAAAACGTGGCGTTTAAAGTTTCTTTCGGTACCACTTTTGCTATGGCTGCTTTTATGCGATTTTAGATACATTTTGGTTTTAGATTTATATGTCTATTGTATTTATTCTTCAGGAGCTTTACATATCACGTCGAGGAACAGAATGGCAAAATGAGAAATGAGATGCTAGAAAAAGGATTGGTCTATCTATTTTAAAATCGATTGAGGCGTTTCAATCGTGTACAATACAATACTATCTGGACTTAATTGTAGAATAGTTCCGTTCTTCGCCCCGTCTAAATATTCATTCATCAACATTCTGGTCATGTCTATCTCCCCTCCTTCTCAACCTTAAGAAACATATGCAAAATTTGATCCTCGACAAGCTAACCAGAATTCTCTCACCACCGAATTTGTTCCCCTAGCACCACGAAGACTTCATAAAAGTTAGCTCACAACTTCACTCCCATAACAGACATCAGAACGAAAAACTTACTTCATAACCTTAGTCAAGAATACCATTTTCTCCTTCTGATCTACCTTATCGCTTGGAAAATTCGCATCCATCAACGCAGCTTCCAACCAACTCTTTGCTCGCACTTGGCTAACAACAAGTTTTCGCAGCGGATCAGAAAGTTTATCGAGTTCGCTGCGAGCGGCTGCGCCACCAATGTTGTAGATGAGGGCTTGGGCGAGGAGTGGTCCGAGATGTTGAAGAGCGTTGGTGATGGCTTGTTGGACGTGGGTATCGGGGTTGTTGGTAGGAAGGGAGACGAATGAGGCCTGGATGAGGGTTAGTCTTTGGGTTTTCGATTTTGTTATCCGGGAGAATTAGGATGATTAGTAGGGTGTGACTTACCCAGAATTCAGCGGCGCTTTGTTTAGGTAGTGGATCGCGGCCTGTGAGGGCTTTGAGGGTAAACATGAAAATGTGTTCGAGTGAGGATTTGGGCTCATGGTTCAGGAGAATGTGGAGATTTTTGGGGGTGGAGATTAGACGGTGGAGGAACTCTATGCTTGGTTGTGAGATCTCTGGGTCATTGCTGGGTTCTGTAATTTGTTAGCATAAATTGCCCTCTTCTTTTTTGATAAATAGTGTTATAAAACTGCGAATTCGAATCCATGAACATACCGTGATTAATAGCTTCCATCAAGCCAGAGACCCATGTCAACAAGGCACTTGAAACCTGATTGTTGCGCTCATCCGATGCTGTGTTGCATGAATTAATGAGTGAGCAGGCGGTGTTGATGACTGTAATAACACGAGGTGTCTGATAATTTGATCTAAAAATGAATCTAGGTCAATGAGTTAGCATTGAGGAGTCGTACCATAACATGCTAAGAAGCAACTTACTTGGCGACATCCTCAGGAGGGAAAGCAAATGGACCATCAGTTTCGACCAAGCCAGTACGAAAAACATGTGAGATTTCCTCTGTTACCTCACCATGGCCAGGGAAAGCTTCGTTAGCTGCGGTAAGAATGTTCAGGACTTGTACTTGAATTCCTCTGCCATTGCCATTCTTCCAGTATGAATAATTATTTTCGCTAGTGTTAAGATCAACAGGGGTGTCAGCTGGTACTTGAAGACCCTTTCCGATACTTATCAGACATCTTATAGCAGTTAGTTCGACTTCATCAGCAGCTACTTGGCTATCCGGCGCTTGAGCATTTGAGGCCGCATTTGTGAATTGTGCGCTCAATAAATGAAGGCTTCGTTCGTGGTCCCTTTGAACAAACTCCAACAACTGTCTAAGAGGGTCCAGCTTTAATTCATCGTTCGGCATTGCTTCAATAATAGATGCTATAGCGCCAATGACACCCTCTTTCGCATAACTTTCCACAGAGTTCTCTCGATTAATCTCACTATATTGCTGCAGAAACGCCGCAAGTTCAGGGACAAGCACTTTTCGGCACGATGAACAGAGCATCGCGATTGACTTTGATGTTACTCTGGCCAACGTTGGTGAACGTAGCATACTGAACATAAGATTAAGGGCGCTCGGAAGATGTTGTGTATGTCGCTCAAAGTAATCTGGATAGCCATTGATGACCATGAGGAACGCCTGCCTTGTGCGTGAAGGAACAGTTGAATCAGACCGTGTGAGCATAGAGAAAAGTGGCGACCCAAAAACTTTGTCCAAGTATTCATCTGACTCCTCCTTTATATAGTCCTGAAACTCAGCTAAGCAGGTCAATGAGGCTTCGAGTTCACCCCAAGCATTTCCTTTCTCAACCGATTTCAAGATGAGGTCAACGAAGCTAGAAACAAGTGGTAAGCCAAGTAACATGTATGATTGTTGTATCAAGTCTCCCACGTCTCTTCGAGCATCTTTGAAGGCAGCACGCTCATTTGAATCCCACGAACCGAATTCATTTTTGGGAGGGAATTGCATTTTTTGCCAGCATTTCTCGATTGCTTGCATCAGCACTGATCGCGCTGCTGGTAGCCAAGGAGGTGAAGCATCCACGTTGTATGACAAGTCGAGTACAGTTTCCAGATAGACAGCCCAGAATTCTACTGCGGGGACGAATATCTTGTCTTCATTGACTATATAACCATCGGCGCCAAGTAGTCCTACAAGGGCAGAAAGTATCTGCTGACTTCGTGAATCGGTCGAGATATTTTGGGCGAGATCTTGCACCGTGGCATCGCCAAAGCTTAATAAGAATTGACCGAATTGCACAGAATCGAAGTCAAAATCGCCTTGGATCAATTTTGCATATCTTTCCTGTGCCCAAGAGCTACTGAAGAGATCGTAAAGCATCGTGAAGTCGTTCTCGGAAAGAAAGGACGAGTAGTTGGCTAGAATGTCTGCAAACAGCTCCACGGTGATCTCATATAAATCATTATCGACTATCAGCATCAATGCTGGCTGAGTTAGAGTTCTTAAAGGATCGAGAACAATAGCAGCATCGAGAAATGCACGATGAGAGTAAAGAACCCATGACTATTTAAGTTAGTATTGATTCTGAAAAGGTGCAAAAATGATTCTTGAGGTATTGAATATGCTTTGGCACAATTGAAGCTGTTTAGTTCTGTCCAAAAATCGAGCTATGTAGGTCAATTCGAAGAAACTGTTGATCTCATGAGACTTTCAAATACGAATCAAGAACAGTCTTTCGACACTTCAGCATACCCTGGCCATTCAATATAGCACTTGTGCAATGGCAATGCCTAAGAGGATGCAAATGGCTGTAGCGAAGAAAATTCGAACACTAACCTGAAAACATTTCATTGATTCCTGGCGAACCTTTGTGTTTATAGAAACCCCTGTTGTGTTTACAATGCCCTTTGTCAATATTGTCACAATGTCTTCCACATTCTGAACCACATATTCGTGAAATTTGTGTCTAAGGGATTTTAGCAACTGGCTTGATTGTAGAGAAGTTATGTACCCACTGCTTCATTGAATTTGAATCTGTTTTTCCAACTTCTTCTACCAAGGTAGCCGAGAACCACAGTATCGCCAGACTTTTGTCATCTGGTAGATTCTGGGCAAGGACCGCCATAGGAGGAGCATCCTCAATTTTATGATAAGGAACGGCCTCGCCAAGGCAAAGGCAGTATGTGAGATGGGAAACACAACGAGCCCAAGAGCCAGAGAAATGAAGGAAATAAGTGACTAATGTTGTGCATAATTTCCTGACGACAAGTGGTCCGCAACCGGAATTCAAACATTTGATAAGCCATCCAATGATTTGTTGTAGCACAATTTGTGCATCATCATCCTTTAGAGATTGTCTGGAATAAAGAAGTCAGTTCATGCCAACAAGAAATCAAATTTTTTAGGGATTAGCATACGTACGAATCTGTGTTGAGTTTGATAGTGAATGTTAATGCCCCAAAGAATTTGACATTTTCCGAGTTGCTGCCCAGTAGGCCATTGGCCAGCTCCCAACCAGCAGGAGAACGCTGTAGCTTCTGAAGAGTTTCTTGGATTTTTGAAACCTGTTGAGGAGGACCAGCCTTGTATAGTTGATGAACGAGCTATAGTCCAATCAGCAAGTCTTCAAGATTGGATATTGAACATTATAAGGTGAGTGTGAGTGTGTTTGCTAGTAAAAGATATCTTGACTGATCTCGTGACATTCCATTTTCAACAAAATTTTGTCAAACAAAATATCCATCGTCTTCGAGCCACTTAACTCTTGTAAGTCATTACGGAAAAGGGTGAACTTACAGCTTCTACCTCATCAAGTGATGAAGGTAACGTTTCGGTCTCCATGTCCTTTTGAAAGGGTATCGTTTGTGTACCAATCAAGCAAAAACGGAAGCACACGCGATCTAAAAGTAAGAAAGATTAGGAGGAAGCTTGAATTTTTGATACATGACCGTAGCCAAAAGATATCGAGGTTATAATTTCGAAAGATTCTTCAAATCAGATTTTGGGGATCTATGATGTAGAAGGGAAAGAAATTTGCAAGATTTTGCGCTGTAAATTGTTTGTTTTGTTATGGCCGGGGAATCTTTGGGCCAGCCTTTTTGATAGCGGTAGCAAGCAAGCAGGCCTTCACAAGCCTTGCAAAGTGGATAGAAAATAATTGATTAAACCTCGCTATAAAAGACAATTGATATTGATTATGTCTTGTCACTTCTTGGACGGATAGGACAGAGAGAGAAATCTCGAGAAGCATCTACAACTGGAACCTTTTTATTTTGGGGAACATTGTAGCAATTTTGAACAAATCTATCCTATGTTGTTGTTGTAGGTTGAGTAGCTTCCATTTGGAAATTCGGTGGTGTTGGGTTGGTTGAGGTTGTTCGATAAGATATTGTGAACCCCACCTCAAGCCCACCAGTAGCCTCGAGGTGGTGGTAGCCTCACCAGATGATTCCATGACTAAATGTTCTACATGTCTAGGTACTTGTCCAAGTACTTGTAGCAACTCAGATGGTACAGTGAAGAATAAACTCATTGGAATCATTCGTACACAAGAGGTTCCAGCAGCTTATGACAGTATAGAACGATAATACTCAAGTAAGTAGATATTCAACAATCAAATTACAAAGACTGTTGTGTTACCTAATAAGTTTCTTGACTCAGATCTACACATTTCATACCTTCTTTCACGTTGCACCGAGCCT